CCGGGGCCTCTGAGGAGGCAGCAGCGCCCCCCGGAAGCGGAGTCGGGCCAGGCGAGCGACACGAGCCCACCACCAGCTGCCTCCCATGATTCACACTACAGTCGCTGAGCGCCGCCCCGCCTCATGGGGCACCTATAGGCTGAGACCCACGTCGCTCAAGCGGAGCAGCTCTCTATTGGTTGTTCGCCCGCTACTCAGGCTCACTAAGCGCTGTCCATTGGTCGAAGCAGCGGTGTTTCCCTCCTCTGTCATATATGCCGGTAGTTCGCGTCCCTCCTCGCTTTCGACTCCTGACTACAAGTCCCAGCGATCGTCGCCTCTGGGGAAGGTCAGGCTTCAGAAGTCCGGGCGCGAGGTCTGTGGGATTTGTAGTTTTTTTTAAAAAAACAATTCCAATGGATGCAAAACTTTAGGTTCTTAATGTGCAATCTCTGAAAAACCCCGGGGAGCCCAGACAGGAGAGTAAAACCCACCAGTAATCTCATCAATGAGTGGTTACTATTTTGTTGTATTACTGTACAATTCTATGCAGATATAAAATAAAATGCCATTTGACAAATTAGTTTTTCACATAGTTTTATTGGGAACACCAACCTGTGTCACGGAAAATTTTTCCTTTTTTTTTTTTTAGTACCGGGGACTGAACTCAGGACCTTATGCTTTTGAGGCAGGTGTGGGTACCACTGAGCTAAATCCCTGGTCACCATGATTTTTTTTTAATTAAAAAAAAAAGTGATAGCCGGGAGTGGTGACACATGCCTGTAATCCCAGCACTGAGGAGGCTGAGGCAGGAGGATCACTGTGAGTTGGAGACCAGCCTGGGCTACATAGTGAGTTCCGGGTCAATCTCAACTACATAGCGAATATAATACTGAATGCAAGATCTACTGAAAAGTAATTCTCACCATGTCCCCTAGACAGTTCTCATACCTCAATTCATCACATTCAATGTTCTTATTTATGCATTAAAGCTCAAGGTGATGCTGCACACTATAATCCTAGCACTTAGGAGGCTGAGGCAGGAGGATTGCTTGAATTCCTAGTCACCCAGGGTTATATAGTGAGTTCAGGTCCAGTCTGAACTACATATTGAGACTCACTCAAATCATAAAACAGAGGACTAGGGATTTAGCTCAGTGGTTCCACTGTCTGCCTCGCAAGTGCAAGGTCCTGAGTTCCATCCCCAGTACCCCCCCAAAAAAATCTGTTCCAAATAAACCTGGACTGTTGGGTACTGGCTGGCTCCAGGAACTAAGGCATGTCTTTCAAACTTCCTGGACTCAGTGACTTTACCTAAAAAACAGGGACAATTAAAGTCCCTTCCTTATACTCTTTTGAGGGTCCAGTGTACAGTGATCTATGTCAATCACTTCGAGCAATACCTAAACCTGTCCCCCCTTACAGTTTGGGGGCCCTGTGCAGGCAGGGGCAGGTCTGCCATGTGCTGGGGTCCCCCCACCTTGCTCAGCACAAGGAGGGGCATTTGTTGACTGACTTGCTGATCGACTGAGGGCAAGGATGGGTTCCCAGGAAAGACAAGTCAGGGACTCAGAGACAGCAAGGTCAGGCCGGACCACAGGTTTACTAGGGGCTCCTAGATGCACACTCACGGCATCATGAGACGATGGCACTGCTACTTGCCACACTTGGGGCAACCTCCTGTGCCTGTGGTGGGCCCAGAGGTGGGGGTGTGGCCTCCTCCCTGGTGGTCCAGGCCCTGCCCAGGTCCTTCCTCCAGGGGAGTGTTGAGGGGATCCCTGTGCTGCCTTGTAGAGATGGGAGGACCGGAAACAAGCAGGCTGGCTGGGGACCCCATCAAAAGCCATCTGTGTCTCCCGCCCCTACCTGGACCCTTACCATCCCTCCCCTGGACACCTGAACCAGCTTACTCCACTGTCCACACAGGAGTCAGGTCCTCTGGTTATTAAGTTGGCAGTGCTTGTGGAGGGAGTCAGGTGCCCACATCCCAATAAACCCACCGTAACTTAGCCAGGCATAGTGGAGCGTGCCTGTAATCCCAGGGTGCGGGAGGCTGAGGCAGGAGGATCCCTGGGAGTTTCAGGGCAGCCTGGTTACACAGTGAGTTCAAGGCCAGCCTGACCTAAGTGGTGGGGAGGAGGAGGTAGGGGAGGAGGGGAAGCACGAGCTGCTGGTGGGAAACAGGCTTAGGGGGCAGAGGAAGTTCTAAGTAACCCTTGCTGTCTCTCCCTTGCCTAATCCCTCTGGGGTCAGAGAGAGCTGGCAGCACCTCCACTGCCCTGGGGAGTGGCAGGGCTCTGAGCTCTCTGCTCTCAGGATCTGCTCCTCTGTCTCCCCCTGGGAAGGGCGCTCCAGGGGAAGAGGAAGAGATGGCCCCCCGGGAGAGAGGTCGTGTGGGCCAGGACAGGGCTGTGGCTTGCAACCATGTTGAGCACTAGGGGCTCAGTGGCTTCAGTGAGAACTGGAAGTATTTGCGACAGACACATTCTTCACATTCTTGGCTAAGAAAACGGCTTCTGCAGTTGAGAAAGAGAAATAAACAGTCAAATACCAGAAAGGGTCAGCACAGAGGAAACAAATCCTCCTTACAGAGGTCAATCTTTTTTTTTTTTTTTTTTTTTTTTATTTAATTGAGGTGGAGGGGGTCCCTCTATGTAGTCCAGGATGGCTTTGAATTCACTATGTAGCCCAGTCTGGCCTCGAACTCATGGTGATCCTCCTGCCTCAGCCTCCCAACTAATTTTTATTTTTAAAGAGATGGATCTTAACACAGGCCAGCTGCATCTACATGGGTGACTAGATCAGTGGCTCTGCATGAATCACCCAGAGGAGAATCAGGAGCGCTCTAAAACACTGCATCCAGTTCAGCAGCACTCACTGCTCATCCCAGCTATTCAGGAGGCTGAGGCAGGAAACTTAATGAGATCCTGCCTCAGAATAAAAAGGGCGCCCAGGCAACTACGTGAGTCCAGGTTCCCTTCTCAGTTGCAGATGTATAACAATGCGAGCAACAGCAAGGCTGAGTCTCAGAGGCCCCACGTAGGTTTGCAGATGGGTTTCAAACTTCACGCAGCTTCTGTTTTAACTTGCTATTTGGGAAAACCCTCCTCCAGATCTATTGCTATAAATGGGGTTGAGGGGACCCTAGTTATAGCTTCTTTGCTCCTACTGTGACATGTAATTCACAGGTCTGTTCAACCATGAGTTTTTCACTGTCCCATGGTGTCCTACCCCCTAACTAGGTATTAGAGCTTGTGTCTAGATGTCCCCCAAAGCCTCATGCAGTCATCGGTGGGGCTTTTTCAGCGCTGGCTGGATCTAGAGTGCATAAGGCTGGAATTGATTTATGGTACAATGCTAGAATCAAGAGCTCTAGGATTAAGGATGTGAGTGCTACCCACCCTAAGTAGCCTGGGTAAGATATAAGGGATAGAAAGAGCAGTGGTCGGCCCTTTCTTGTTTTGCTACCTTCTGCCTGCCATAAACTGTTTTTCATCTGTGATGCCACCCTGCCTTGCAGCCAGTCAATTATGGGCTGAAACCTCTATAAACTATGAGATAAATAAACCTGTCCTCCCTTAACTTTGGGTGTTAGATATTTTGTCTCAGCAATGAGAAAGTAATCAAGACACTAGGAAAAAA